GGCTGAGTACCAGCTGGTGAGTACCACCTACAACGGGTGAGTGGTTCATGTAAGGACTGGTAGGAAAACCTGTCATTATTTTGACCCACTTGTGGCATAACTTGTGGGTCAGCTGTGAGTTTTACCCACAATTTTCTCTTACTAAATTAGAGAGAATTTTCCTAATAAAATTGAGTGTTTGTAAAGACTGCTTTATCAGCAAAATTCATGATTATTTGTGCAAACACTCGAAGATATGTAAAAAATGTGACGGCAAATGTGACTGCCAGTTTCTTTATATTCTTACAAGCCTTCTTCTTCAATCAGCGAGCATACGCTATTGTTCATATTAATATTATAATATTATTTACTTATGATGTATTTGGTGCTACAAAAGATGTAGTTCTGGTATCTTTATTGCCCACTATTCACGTTCAATAGCTGGTAGACTTTTTTACAGTTGTCAGTTATGAAACACCAGAGTGTGTCAACTGATCTCAAAATTCCATTGTAATTAAAGTTCCATTTTCAGATTGACAGCGTCGCCTATTTTTTCGATAACTTGGACAGAATATCCATGCACGTGAGTAATTACTTTGAAATCATGTTGTTATTGAGCAAATGTGCAAATTTTAAGTTTAATTTCCATGAAGTTTTTACGTAATTTTACCTTTTGATCGTTGAGGAATTTTGAGATTTTATTTTGCCTGAGATTATAATGAGAATAAGGAAGATATTGAATGGGAACCCAAGTTCTAAGTTGGTCACCACAACTCTGTATATTTCAAAAGTTTCACCAATATATTTGTATATTATGTTGATTTATATGAATACAGGCACAGCAGTCACTTTTAAGTCCCGTGTTGACATTATTTTATATATGTCTCACCTGATGTCTCCTGCATTAACACGTCATTATGTAACTGTGTAAGCAAAATTAAGATCCCTTTTGAATTACTACATTTATAACCTTCAAAAATAAAAGAGTCTCATCCTATGAACATTTGACTGCAATTTTGGTACGCAAGTGCCATGTATGTTTAAGTACAAATATGGTACGCAAGTGCCATGTATGGTTAAGAACAAATATGGTATGCAGGTGCCAAGTATGTTTAAGTACAAATATGGTACGCAAGTGCCATGTATGGTTAAGAACAAATATGGTATGCAGGTGCCAAGTATGTTTAAGTACCAATATTTGGTGGTATCATAAGCACTTGGTCGTACCATAAAGATTTGCATGACAATGGGATGTTCACAGAACTCCAGGATAATCAACAGTGATAATTCCACGAATGACAACTACTTCAAGATAAGCCTTAAATATTAATTTCTCATTCGGTGTACCATAGTGTTGCATGAAGATAATGAAGTGGCAAGCCCCAATTATAGTATATGATCTGATGGGGAATATTATCATCACATCTGAGGGGGAATATTATCATCACATCTGAGGGGGAATATTATGCAAAAAAAGTGATAACTATATCGAAAGTTTAACCCATACCCTCCCCTTCTCTTAGTATCCCTAACATCCTTGGTATCCTTATTCCTTAGTATCCCTAATATCCTTAGTATCCTTAATATCCTTAGTATCCCTAATATCCTTAGTATCCCTAATATCCTTAGTATCCTTAATATCATTAGTATCCTTAATATCATTAGTATCCTTATTATCCTTAATATCCTCAGTATCCTTAATGTCCTTAGTATCCTTATTAGCCTTAGCATCCTTAATATCCTTAGTATCCGTAATATCCTTACTATCCTTAGTACCCTTAGCATGTATTTCGGACGTAGCAGTCCCAGGCCACACGGAGGTCCGCCACTATACTATCCCTCCGACCTCTGCACCAGTAACATGTTATCAAAACCTCATCCCGCCCCTCCTGGATATTAAAAATCCTTTCACCCACAGGACTACAGACCTGTAGATATTAAAAATCCTTCTCTCACAGGACTACAGACCTGTTGTCATTAAAAATCCTTCTCTCACAGGACTACAGACCCGTGGACAGTGACGTGGTACACGCACGGCGCGCCACGAAGAGCATCACGGAGTTCTGCATGAGCATCAACAAGGTGCCGTTCTTGTTCGTGGACGTGGGGGGGCAGCGCACGCAGCGCCAAAAGTGGTTCCAGTGCTTCAGGAGCGTCACGTCCGTCCTCTTCATGGCCTCGTCCTCGGAGTGGGACCAGAGACTGCTCGAGGATAGGTTAGTGTGGTGGTACTTGCCTTGGTACTGGACTTGATACTGAGTTTAATAATTAGATTCATACTTGACTTAATACTTAGCTTGATAATTGACTTAATACTGCGCTTTGTTCTGCGTTTAATTGTCTGCCACTGTCTGTTGTAGAACAACAACATTCCTGTTCTAACGCCTGCATTTGTTGCAGAACAACGAACCTCCTGTTCTGACGTCTGCTTCTGTTGCAGAACAACGAACCTCCTGTTCTAACGTCTGCTTCTGTTGCAGAACAACGAACCTCCTGTTCTAACGNTGAGTATAGTGCACTGCTGCTCTGACTTTGTGGTGAGTATAGTGCACTGCTGCTCTGACTTTGTGGTGAGTATAGTGCACTGCTGCTCTGACTTTGTGGTGAGTATAGTGCACTGCTGCTCTGACTTTGTGGTGAGTATAGTGCACTGCTGCTCTGACTTTGTGGTGAGTATAGTGCACTGCTGCTCTGACTTTGTGGTGAGTATAGTGCACTGCTGCTCTGACTTTGTGGTGAGTATAGTGCACTGCTGCTCTGACTTTGTGGTGAGTATAGTGCACTGCTGCTCTGACTTTGTGGTGAGTATAGTGCACTGCTGCTCTGACTTTGTGGTGAGTATAGTGCACTGCTGCTCTGACTTTGTGGTGAGTATAGTGCACTGCTGCTCTGACTTTGTGGTGAGTATAGTGCACTGCTGCTCTGACTTTGTGGTGAGTATAGTGCACTGCTGCTCTGACTTTGTGGTGAGTATAGTGCACTGCTGCTCTGACTTTGTGGTGAGTATAGTGCACTGCTGCTCTGACTTTGTGGTGAGTATAGTGCACTGCTGCTCTGACTTTGTGGTGAGTATAGTGCACTGCTGCTCTGACTTTGTGGTGAGTATAGTGCACTGCTGCTCTGACTTTGTGGTGAGTATAGTGCACTGCTGCTCTGACTTTGTGGTGAGTATAGTGCACTGCTGCTCTGACTTTGTGGTGAGTATAGTGCACTGCTGCTCTGACTTTGTGGTGAGTATAGTGCACTGCTGCTCTGACTTTGTGGTGAGTATAGTGCACTGCTGCTCTGACTTTGTGGTGAGTATAGTGCACTGCTGCTCTGACTTTGTGGTGAGTATAGTGCACTACTGCTCTGACTTTGTGGTGAGTATAGTGCACTGCTGCTCTGACTTTGTGGTGAGTATAGTGCACTATAATGCTCCTTTTTTTGGCTGGTATAGTGCACTAATTTCTATGTCTTGTGTCACTCATCAACATTAAAATGCTATTAATTATTCTTAAAGAATCCCAATTGTCAACGTCGCAGCTATGGGATGCTGCTGCTTTATAGGCTTCTGTTATTAATGGTTTTCCTGCTGTTACAGCTGCTTATGGTGCTCTATTTAATGCTATTAATGCTGCTGTTGACCTTATGACCTTATGATGAGTTCGGGACTTCCTAGTCCCCGGTCACGCTGATGCGCCGCCTTCGTCGTCCTCCGTCTCCGAGTCGTCGTCGGATGTAACGTTGGACGTGTTCCGTCTATTTGCCCTCCTTTGGGCACGCTGATGCAAGATGCTGTTGCTTGTCACTTGCTGATGGTAGTTTCCCATTACTGGACAGTCCGGGATCTTGTTCAACCACTTGTCCAGTTGTCTCTTGAATGTTGCAAGGGTAAACTCCCCTCATCTCAGTGCTTTTGGCAAGGCATTAAAGAGCCTCGGTCCTACCACGGACAGTGATCCCTCACGAAGAGTCTGTACTATGGCCGCGGCTCGGTTATTAAATGGGGGAATCCTGCACAGTCTCCCCTTCCTTTCATTGTGACGTGTCACTATTCTGGAGGTCTGCTGTTGCAGGGTAACTGGCTATTTACAGCTGTTAACGCTGCTTATGGTGCTCTATTTACAGCTGTTAACGCTGCTTATGGTGCTCTATTTACAGCTGTTAACGCTGCTTATGGTGCTCTACTTACAGCTGTTAACGCTGCTGTTGTTGCAGGGTAACGGGCACGACGAGGTGCAGGTGCAGCAGTTTATCCTGGACAAATTCGTGGCGCTGCGACGACACGCTGAGCGCCAGCCGCTGTTCCATCACTTCACCACAGCTGTGGACACTCATAACATCGCTGTGGTGTTCGCATCTGTCAAGGACACCATACTGCAGCGTAATCTGGTCACCCTTATGTTGCAGTGATGTTTGTGGTGATGTTACATCACTTCACCACAGTCGTGGACCATAAAATCATAGTGATGATGAATCTTTTGATATTTTGTTGTGGTTATGGTATGTTACAATGATGTTAATTCAGTGATGTTTTGTTGCAATGATGTTATGTTACAGTGACGTAATCATACAATGATGTAAAAATTCAATGATATTATGTTGCGGTGATAGTTGTTGCAGTTATGTTGCATCGCAATACTGTTGCGTTGCATTGTTGTGTTGAAACGGTTACTTATTGTGCTAAATCCTGGGGTTCCTACAGCATAAATCCCAAGTCTGATATTTCGTGGTATAGTACCTACTTAATCTCTACGATAATTACCCGATGGGTTAGAAATTTTGGGAATGATTTCAGAATCTCGAATGCAGTGTTTCGGAATCTCGCCTGCAGTGTTTCAGAATCTCGCCTGCTGGTGTTTCAGAATCTCGCCTGCAGTGTTCCAGAATCTCGCCTGCAGTGTTCCAGAATCTCGCCTGCAGTGTTCCAGAATCTCGCCTGCAGTGTTTCAGAATCTCGCCTGCAGTGTTTCAGAATTTCGCCTGCAGTGTTTCAGAATTTCGCCTGCAGTGTTTCAGAATTTCGCCTGCAGTGTTTCAGAATCCAATTAATACAATGTAGAAACATTTTATTACGATCTGATATCGATATTTTTGGTAAAAATACTGCTGCAGACGTCTCAACATGTTGGAAACACGTCTCGTGCATGCAGTTGGTCGTTAACTCGTTATGTTGACCTATGCTTATGTTGGTTGGTTCGATTTGTATGCTCAGTACAGTCTGTGTTCTATGCAATTGTATTGTTCAGCAGCTGGGAATTAGGAAATGTTTTGACAAAAATGGGCTTAAGTTTATTAGTATTCATTCCTGGCCATTTAGGTTACTTTGTATTTTTAAAATAACTTTTTAATTTAGTTCTTAATTCAGATGCTTAGCTATTGATACTGTCACTACACTTGTTGAATGGCCATGTTGGGTATTTCAACTTTCTGTTATTTTATAATCTGTTTGTCAATTTCTATACCGAAGTTCTTACCTCTTAATTAATTCTGTTATTCAGAATTAGTTTCTTTTACACCGAGCATGTTAACAGAGACAACATATACAAAGGGAAAACAGGCACAATAAAAAGATATATCAGTGCTCAATTGCTTCCGTAGTGTTATTCCTAACCTACAAAGTGCGCTGTTTAGACGGTAAATGGGTTAATAATGGGGTAAATGGGTTAATAATGGGGTAAATGGGTTAATTGAAGACAACTTGAATGGTTGTTTCTGCCATTATTCATGTGAACAAGACGTTGATAATGAGAAATATGTGATACATTTTTCGATGTTGCTTTAAGTAGCGAAATATTTGGCCCATGTTGATAAAAATTGATTTAATACCTATGTGTTTGAATGAATAATATAAAACTCACGGGTGCGTAATGTAGATTTAAATCAAGAGTATAAACATGCGTAAGAATATCAGGAGAGCGTTTCAATGTTTTAATCTCGACCACAACTTTCGTTGTTGCTCTTTTGATTTTAATTTAATTGACGTTGTTTAGGATGTCAAATTATTTCTGATGTAAAATGTCCTGAGATCTTTTGTTAATCTGTGTGATTGTTTTTGTGAAAAAATGGTTAATGCCTTTAACGGCTGTTGAACACAGTTGTAAAAAATAATGGTTAATATTGTCCAAATAGTGACACAACACAAATTCTTCCCCAGAGCTCGAATAGAGAGCGAGCGTATCACTGATACGGCCTTTTGCCTTACGAAACTGAGTCAGGATGACCCACCCAAGGGCAAAAAGTGCATCGTTATTTACACTCATTTCTCTGCGTGTTACTTGCAACTTTAATCCTTTTATCTGCCGTTGCATTAACCGTTATCCCAACCGTTCGAACCTAATATATCTGCCCCCTCAGGGGGGACTTCTGACGGGTGTCTGTGCGCGTCAGAAGTCCTATGGGATTTCGCGTTCCTAGGGGGATTGTTCCTGAGCGCCCCACCGCTGAGCTCGCGGTGACTTTGAGATGCTAACGCTGCTTCTTTCGAGCCAGCTTCAGCGGGCTGGACAATTGAGACCTTCCGCCCCTTGTGGGTGATGAATAATTGAGACCTTCCACCTCTATGGTGATGTTCATCTTGACTTTCGGTGCGAGATAGCTAAATAGCTGAAGCGCTAGTAAACATTTGGCCACTAAACTAATTAATATATCTGCGGTTACATTACCAGTTATTAACCGTTACATTAACCGCTCGAACCAAAAGGCCGGGTAACGATAGTTACAGTCACTAAACAGAGGGATAATATTTATTAATTATATTTAACATCTGGATTATGATAACATTTCCTGTATTTTTATGCTTAGTTGCGGCAAATTTTTTGATTACTTAACAGTTTTGAAATCATTGCAAAAAATTCTTTAACTATGACTCTTAGTCGTAATATTGTATGTCTGCTGTTGTTCAATGAATGATTTCTTATTTATTTAGGTTTTCGCTTGCAACAGATTTTTTCATGGTCAAACATTGCCTTGTCATTCCATTATATTCATGGGAGCTTGGATGATGTAGCATGTATAATCATTATACAAATGGTAGCTCCGATGACTTGAACTATATTATTTGTCATTGTAATTAAATCATTCAATCATCCTCAATATTTGAATATGTTTTTTTGTGTCACTTGTGAATTGAGACTCGTCGAATTTGGTTGATTTTTTTTTATGCAATTGTGGAGTTAAGAAATGATGGATGATAGCGAGCATTATCATGTTATTCATTTTGTGGTGGAATGGTGATGTTAAAAAATTATGTATGATAGCGATCGTTATCGTGTTATTCATTTTACGATGTAATGGTGATGTTAACAAATGATGACAACCCAGAATTTCCCTGCACTGTTGATGGGATTATGTAGTAGATGTGCCTGATGAATGAGCTAAATTTGTGATGATGAATTTGGCAATTTCGTATTATTTATTGTGATAATCTTGTAATTGTGAATTTATTAATTTCTTAGTGATAAATGGGATTGTGAATGTGGGAAATTCATGATTGTGAATATTGTGTTCACCATTGCAGACGCGTGTGTGCTTCTATGTATTGTCATTATAAGCCAGCCCAGTTCATTGTTTGGGAAAACATTTAATGAAATTTTGAATAGTTGAATATTTTAAAATATGATCTTAGCTTTACCAAGCGAGTCAAGTTGTTTGCCACAAATCCAGAACCTCTCAAAATTGTAGGTGTTAATGTCTCAAATATTGCAAAAGTTAACCAGAGATATATTTTCTTTACAACGTATGTGTATAAACGTTGACATCTTATCGTTTTGGCTTTATTGAAACGTCTTGAGTTTACGTTTTTATTGTCTTGGGTGGTACCGCAACTTGCATTTTTGTAATAGTTCTTTCAAACACCAAGTCTAATTATGAACATTATAAATTAATACTGACTATGAGACTCGTAATTGCACAAAGAAATGTATGTTATGTCCCTCACCCTCTGCTTGTCAACCGAGATCGTGTAGGGTTATCATAAAATGAAAGTTAAGTTTAGTTCTTATAAGAGTCAAGTTGTGTGTCAAGGTAACTCATTAATTTTCAATTATTGGATCAATGGTCGCATATATTTCATGGCACAAGAGCTACCATTCCTGATATATTGAGTTGGTGTCAAGCTTGACTGGAAAATGTGTACAAGATTCGGATTAATAATCTCTTGTGGCTCAATTAACCCTTTTGGGTTAAATTTTAACCTCACATTATTACAATGTGTTAAAAATTCGGGTTAATAATCTCCTGTGGCTAAATTAACCCCTTTGGGTTAAATTTTTATCCTCAGATTATAACAATGTGTAAAAAATTCGGGTTAATGATCTCCTGTGGCTAAATTAACCCTTCTGGGTTAAATTTTTTACCTCAGATTATAACTTAGTTGTATTCGAAGTTGTGATAGGCTGGTGGTTTATTATAGCCTGCATTTATCACTTGTTAGGCACCCGAATGTAAGGGCTAACTGATCTATTGTGGCAGTTAAATAGGCGGAAATGTAATAGGCTAACTGATCTATTGTAGCAGTTAACGGAGGGGGTGGAAATTTGAAAATATTGTGTAGAAGTTTTTGGCCGCAATTGTTTCTACTAATTTGTTATGTTATATTCATTAGTTGGATACATAATTTATTCGTTGAGATACCACTGGAAGAACTTGGTGCTATGATGCAGACGGTTGTGCTATTGACGACATTGTTAAAGCGGACTATGTTTTACGATAGTTGTTGATGAAGATGATAATGTATTGATGATGATATATTGATGATGATATGTGTCGTTGAGAGTTTTCTTGTTAATTGGACTCTTAATTAAAAGCTCTTTGATTAAGAACGAGTGCAATTTATCACTCAGATAAATAAATGGGTCATACCCTCCAAATATGGGTCAAACTTTGGCACAGCAAAAGGGCGTATCAGTGCTACGTCTGCTGTGGACTAGAAAGTGTGTCACTAGTTGGACAATGTGATCCATTCGTTTCTTTGAGTGAACTCACTTCAAGGAAGAAATGAACTTGAAGTTCTGGGCCAAAACTATCATCGAACTTAGTTTTATCTTTAAGTTTATTGAAGTTTGAACAAAGTTGATACGCAGTGAAGTGTTCATTTGTTCTATCCAGATGAAAATTATGTCTTAATTATAAGTATTATCATTTATTATTATTTATTATTATTAGTATTATCATTTATTATTATGATTATTAATTATAATTTTAATTATCATTACGATGTGATAACTGCCACGCACAAATTGCACGTGTATACTCAAAAAAACAGAGGGTTGTGTTGTCAAGTTGTGACACAATTTCTGCATTTAGCCTTCACTTATCTCAAATATTTTCATTTGGTTATTTATTTTCATCGCTGTTTCGTCCAATTTATTATTCCTAATATCTATTATAATATTTCATTCCTGTGAATATTTTCCCCTTATTTCATGTGATCCAATTTTCCAAATACCCTCAGAAGAATTAATACGTCAAGTTGTCCAATTAGTTATAAATTTGTAGCGCGCATCAACGATGCATATTTTTTAACTGGGTCGGAATGAACATGACATGTTTCATGTTACTCATGTTCATATATAT